TATGACGAAGGAAACATTATTATGCGTATACTCAGGTTAGTTATTTACTCATGTGAACATATAATTATTCTTTGATTAGCTATAAAGGAAATACTTACTTAATGGGAGACATTTAAGCATGGTGTAATGAATAGCCGCATTTAATATTTATTTTACAGACTTTTTTTAATTTCTAGTTTATAAATAACTCGACAGAAAGTAAAAATTTGTAGCAGTGCCTTCGAACGCATCAACATTAGTTCAGAGATTTTCTTTCGGAACTCTACTTGGAAGAGACAATATCGCAATTTTTTTTGCATCATTTCGACAAGAACATCAACTCTGCGTATTTAAAAATATTCAATGTGATGGGATGGAGAATTTTAAATGCCAGAACAATGTTTTAACTACGAAAATTACTGGATACAAAACTTTGCAAAATAAAAAAATGCCACATTGTTGCAAATTTTGAAACGTGTTTTGTCTAAATAGATACATATATTCCATACATATTTGAGTTACATATTTTAATTAAGATTTATTCAATTTGAGTAAAAATGTAGCTTTTCGAATTTCATTTTTTTTTTCTGCCTTTTCTTCAAAATGTTCAAAATGAAAGCTTACGAAAGATTTAATTTTACACAACATCACTTGCTATATTTGGAAATATGCAAGATTCCCCATTATTACAAATTCCCTGTGAGCTCTCAATCCCGAACGTCAATGCTATAGCACGCTGAGTTTTTCAAACCCTGTTTGTATAATAGATACACATCCTGAAAATAAGAAATTAGAATTTATTAGAAAGATCTTTACTTGAATCAAATGGCTTGTAAAATCGATCTCACAATGGAAGGTCGCCAACTGCCCGACGCCGTTTAAGCTCATATTTTGGCTATGAGTAGGACTCAGTGAAACTAAGAAAATCCTATAAGGGTTCGTGCCCATGCTTTGCTCAGCCAGAGTTATGATCGTTTTAGTGGGTTCTAGGCATCTAGGCCAGCTATTCATGGAAAACTCAATTACGAGATTTTCACCTGAAATTTTGCCTACATACAGGTCTCATGGCCACTAGAATATCCTAAAAATTTCAGCTCAAACGAATGCACTTTTCTTGAGATATCAAATGCACAAAAAACGCTTATATATCACAGGTCAGGCCATGGAATCAAGCTATCTTAGACACTCAATATCTCAAGAAAAGTACATTCGTTTGAGCTGAAATTTTTAAGATATTCTAGTGGCCATGAGACCTGTATGTAGGCAAAATTTCAGGTGAAAATCTCGTAATTGAGTTTTCCATGAATAGCTGGCCTAGAGGCCGAGAACCCACAAAACGATCATAACTCTGGCTGAGCAAAGCATGGGCACGAACCCTTATAGGATTTTCTTAGTTTCACTGAGTCCTACTCATAGCCAAAATATGGGTTCAAATGGCGTCGGGCAGTTGGCGACCTTCCATTGTCAGAGACTTTTTCGCGTTCGAAAGAAGAAACAGTCAAAGATTTTCATTATTAATAATCGGTTAAAAGAACATAAATTGTTCTCTTTACCAAAAATACACTTATACAAGCTATAGCTGAGCATGATTTTATACGACTTACAGTATATAAAGTCTGGCTGTTGTGACCTCAGTTACATAATGCTCACACTTTCATTTAAAAATATCGGGTTCTTTCAAGCCAATTTTTCCTTCCACACTCGATTCTTTAGATACAGTTCAGTGAAAAATTTTCACTTGCTATAGCTTAGTGATTCGAATACACGAAAGACAACCAGTCGATTAATTGATTTATATTTTAGTCTCATATCTTGCAATTCTTTATCAGTGAAGCGCTCACTGATATGGATCGAGTTTCCTTGACCATTACTTAGTAGGTATTATGCCATATCATAAACCGGGTTGTGTGAGATAAGAAAAGAGCAGAAATGGTACGTTTAGCGTCATATTATTGTTGATATAAGATGAGTTTTTTTAAATTTTGCACCCTCAAAATTAGATGATACAAGTGAAATTGAAATTCAAAAATAAAGAATTATAAAAGCAAGGCATTGTCTACGTATACTCCAATGATTAGTTACTATACGATCATCTAGGATCTACAGCGGTCTGACTTGTCGAAACAGTCCTAGAGTATGCGCACAGTCTGTCGCTGTGACAGGGTACCATGAAACAGTCAACCATCTGGCAGATCCTGATTGATCGCAGTAGGCATCCGAAAACTCGCATATACTTTATCAAAGCTCAGGAGAAAATAAAGTAGATTCACTTAATTAAATTCCGAAATATTTTGTAATTCATTTTCGCTATCATTTCTTTCAAACGAAAAACGATGGAAAATAATTTTTCATTTTCTCGATTGTTATTCCACTTAGGTTGAGCAGTCATCCTATTCCGCGATGTTGCACATTGCAGGAATCGATTCCGCCCCGGAATCAGTTCCATCCGATTCCGGAATTCCCAATCGTCGAACTAACTCGGCTTATTCGACAACGATCGAGTTCCGTCAAATTCCGGAATTACCGAAACTCCGTGTAACTCCGGAATTAGGTCGAATTCGCGGGATTCCGAAATCGGTAGGAATTCCGCGCAACTCCGGAATCGGTGGGAATTCCGTGGAATTCCGTCTCGACTCAATTCCCGGAATTCCGTACCGGAATTAGGTAGTGATCGAATCGAATAAACTATAACCACATCAGCGTGGGTGTGGGCGAGGGGAAGATGTAATTCCGGTTAGGAATTCCGGAATTAGGTCTACTTCCCGGAATTCCGTACCGGAATTAGGCAGTGATCGAATCGAATAAACTATAACCACATCAGTGTGGGTGTAGGCGAGGGGAAGATGTAATTCCGATTAGGAATTCCGGAATTAGGTCTAGTTCCCAGAATTCCGGAATCGGTAGGAATTCATGGGAATTCCTAGGAATTCCGTGCAATTCCGGAATTAGATCGAATTCCCGGAACTCCGTACCGAAATTAGGCAGTGATCGAATCGAATAAACCATAACCACATCAGCGTGGGTGTGGGTGAGGGGAAGATGTAATTCCGATTAGAAATTCCGGAATCGGTAGGAATTCTGTGCAATTCTGGAATTAGATCGAATTCCCGGAATTCCGTACCGGAATTAGGCAGTGATCGAATCGAATAAACTATAACCACATCAGGGTGCGTGTGGGTGAGGGGAAGATGTAATTCCGGTTAGAAATTCCGGAATTAGGTCTACTTCTCAGAATTCCGGAATCGGTAGGAATTCCGTGCAATTCCTGAATTAGATCGAATTCCCGTCATTCCGTACCGGAATTGAGTAGTGATCGAATCGAATAAACTATAACCACATCAGTGTCGGTGTGGGTTAGGGAAAGATGTAATTCGGGTTAGGGATTCCGGAATCGGTAGGAATTCCGTGCAATTCCGGAATTAGATCGAATTCCCGGAATTCCGTACCAGAATTGGGTAGTGATCGAATCGAATAAACTATAATCACATCAGTGTGGGTGTGGGTTAGGGGAAGATGTAATTCGGGTTAGGGATTCCGGAATCGGTAGGAATTCCGTGCAATTCCGGAATTCCGTCGAATTCCCGGAATTCCGGAATCGGTAGGAATTCCCGGGAATTGCGTGCAATTCCGTCTCGACTCAGTTCCCGGAATTCCGTACCGGAATTAGGTAGTGGTGCAGGCGAATAAATTTTAACCACATTAGTATGCGTGGGAATGAGGGAAGATGTAATTTCTGAATCGGTAGGAATTCGGGGGAATTTCTGAATCGATAGGAATCGCTGGGATTGGCGTGCTATTCCGGAATCGCATTGAATTTTAGTAATTCCGGGAATTTCTTGAACTCGATCAATGTCAAATAATCGTCTTACGTTGAATGACGCCGGAATTCCGGGAATTCGATGGAACTGATTCCTGGGGCGGAACTGGTTCCGCAATGTTCAACATCGCGGAATAGGATGTATTCTCCTTAGGTTACATAAATAGAAGAATGTTCGACATGTTAAATGACTTTCTATCAAAAACTTATATTAATACAACTAATGTGGTTAGTAAATATTCTTGTAAATTTAAAATTTTAAAATATCATTGAAATTGAATTGCTTAATTTACTAGATAATTCAATTTAAAAACTTAACTGATCCTGATATTTTATTTTCCAAGATAGAAATAGAAATCGATGAACTTTTTTCTCTAAATTGCTTAAATACTCCGATAACGAAATAGCGTCGTAGGAAAAAGCAATGAAAAGCTTTTATATTTCTTATTGAATCGCGATGAATAAGCATGTCTCGTGATTCTAAAGCGAAAAATCATTGTAGACAGATTTTCTTATTCTTTCACCCATTGATTCTATTATTTGTTTTCGTTTTTCAAGCATTCTTATCGATTATCAAAACAGCTTTTTGGATAAGGTTGAGCAGGAACTCAACTCTTCTGAAGATCAGGGTATGAACATCATTAAATATTTGATTGGTAAAATAGTACCAAAGGACGTCTCCATAATACAAGTTGTGCGTGAAGGCGCAGGTGTATTGACTTTGAAAAAGGATGACAATTCATGGATTGAAAAATATGCACTTGCAAATCTCATTTTGGACAATGAAAGTTTTCCAGTCTCCGATACAGAACTGAATTTTGACTACTTGAACGTTCAATCGTACATAATACGAACTTATTTACTTTTATGTCATATTAAATATCAGGATATCTCTCAAAAGTATGTATGTTTTATACCAAGAAAAGTTACTAATGCCATCACAACGGGTGTTGATGGTATCATCGAATTGAATGAAAACTATTCAGTTCCACTGGAAGATGATTGGAGCCATTTAAATAAACTATCAATCGACCAATTGTATCATGGTTACACTGTCTTAAGACAGATTGCTTCGGTATTGAAAAATGAACAACATGATCGATCGTCTGAACAGCTGTATACTTATATTCAAACAATCAATGGAAAAGATTTAACTGTTGAGATATTGAAGGAAAATAATATACTAGATTTTCAACTTTGTCATATGAATCATGTCGGTAAATTATACAAAGATTTAGTTGAACGATTCGAACACTTGTTCACAGATACTTCTGCATTACTTCAAAGGCCAATGTCAAATGAACTAAGCAAAGAACTTGAAGAGAGCTTTCAAAATAAACTGATCAATATCGATAACGGTTGTGATGATAAAAACTTGGTAGTCAAAACATTGGAGTCAAGTATAAACGATATCGATGAACTTTTGAATGAATTAAAAGATATTCAAGACACACTTAGTGACAAAGGAACTGAGTCATTAGCTAAAATATGTCATGACACGCACATTAAAAATTCTCTTCTTAATATTATTGGTGACAAAGTCAAATGTGAAAATTACGTCTTCTTGACTGTTCATTTAATTCACGTTCGATCCAAATTACAAGAAAAAACAATTGATTTTGAAGAACAAAATATAGAACAATGGACTGATAGTTTTTATGAGCAAGCAGATCAAACAAGCCAACGAAGTACAAGAAATCGTTTTCGTCCTGATGAGAGAGATGATGAGGAAGATTATGACTCTGGTGGACGTCATGTTCCTGGTATAGTCCTCAATTCAAATCCGGAGCCGGACCCTCTTCCATCACCTTCGAATCAGGTTCACATATTATCGCTTTTTGAATTGAATATCGGACCTACTTCAATAGCATCATTGAAATCAGTGTTTGGAAGCGATGATCAGACGAATAATGCAACAACTTCTCCAGACAAAGTTGAAATGTTTGAACTGACAAACCCATGCAATGTTCCAAAATTTTGTATAAAATGTAAAACTGGAACATTCTATGGCAAACTGAAGGCACATTTGATCCAGAAAAAATACGATATGAATACATATGCCGTCGTTGACTATAATAAAATATTCGTCGACTTTACACGAACCGATGCTCGTCTACCTAAACCATTCCCTACAAAATATTGTATCGTTGAAAGGAGCTTATTAATTCCAATTGTTTTTCAATATGGAGGCGAACAATACGAATATTTAACATTATCAGACTGTAATGTCCACAGTATTATCCATCGTTTTATAGATGAAAAGGAGTTAAAACAATCACCCGAAGTTCGTCTTTTATTTTATGACAAACTCTGGAAATGCATCGAAAATGAAATGGTTTCAGAACTGTCGCACGACGTGAATCATAACTTGCCAGTCGTTATTGTAGTCAGAGAAGAAAATATTGAAGACAGTTTATTATATACAGTTAATCTACAAACGAAAGGTAGTGTTTGTTTAGAAAATCAGTATTTTAAAAACATCTCTGATTATTTGAATTTAGATCAAGAACAAAAAAGTCTGTTTCATCCAACGACGAAGTGGTACCAGATCGACATTTGGCGTAAAACTCATTTGCAACAAATCGATTCATCTTGTGTTTACATACACAGAGAAAGCAATGCTATATTTGATAAAAATGAATCGATATCTATGTTAGAGAAGAATATAGTAACATTGGATGGTATTAGTGAAGACCAAACCCGAACTGTTACTTTATGTTTTGGATCGAATGTGAAAGTTATTCGAACACTTGGTTCGCTTCGAATGCACGATCTATTGAGTAGTGACACCCTTCGACAATTCAGTTTAATTGTTTTACCAGAAGATTGTGTTTTCACACTTGGTGATGCTGATGAACAAGAATTATCTGAAGAAGATATGAAAAAATTGATCGAAGAGTTTTCTCAACCAATACAGTGTCGAATATGGCTAAAAGTTCACATTCATCAATATGATATTCAACGAGATATTGTCGTAAAAATTAAAGAAGATACTATTACTGTGGATCAAATATTGCACATGCAAGAAATACTCAATGAAGATTACAAATATTTAGCTTCTAGCGATAGAAATGCAGTTATTGCTGATGACCAAAAGTTTGTTGATTTGAATGAAACAAAATTCATTCTTCTCAAAGAAAATGAAACATGTTGTGTTTCAATTGGTGATTTAAATAAAGCACAAGAAGATGGTTATTCTAAACGATACGCAAAATTCGCAACTATTGCCGATGTCTTGAAAGATAGTAATGTTGATGCTGATTGTCTTCTCTGTCTCAATGATATTGCTCCTTCAAAAGAAATTAAATTGGCTTTACTTCCACCACCAATTCAGTTTCAAATTATCAAGGACGACTTACTAGCACTCGTTACTGTTACCAATCCGGAGCAAGAAAATTGTTCCATTCAGTTCAAATGTTCAAAATCAAATACTACAGGAAGGGTATTCCAAATTTCATGTCAATTACTAAATACCAATACAAGCTACTATCAACTCAATGATGAATCGAGCGAGATAGATTATGAATTAACTCTCGAAGATCTCGACTCATCTTCCAGTAACTTTCACTTTAACTTAGTCTCTACATTTGATAAGACATGCTCCATACGGTACAAAAACGAAACTCTTAAACTACCATGTTCAAACACAACAATCTTGAAGGATCTTGTAAAGGAAATGTTTCGAAAGTTTCATATTTCTGAAGAAGACATCGATCAATTTGAAGTAGAGCAGGTTTTGAATGATAATGAATCATCAACAGCCGATATGGAACTAACGATTGACGATATTCTTGCAACTGATTCTGGGAACCCAGACACACTGAGTTTGCTGTTTGAACTGAAGAAGAATGACGAATAAC